TAAAAGTTTCTTTTGATTGTGCCTTCATTGTTGTATATAGCTCAAGTTAGTGATTAATAAAATCTATTTCCATGATATTATCAACTTTTAAAAAGTTAAAAGTATCAATTTATGGATGATAATTATAATTAATAAATGAATTAAATTAAATTAAATTAAATAGAAGAATGTATCATATTATTATAAGTAAATTTTGCCAATGGCAAAAGAGCTATTCAATCATCTTATGATAGTTGATGGTATATTTTAATTACTCTTCCAAAACTTGATTTGCATACTTTGTTTGTCTTTCAGTTTGAGGATAGAAAGTCAAAGATAGTTTTATATCTACTTTTAGAATCTTGAAAAAAAAATTCAAAAACTTGATACAAAATGAGTCCTTTTATTTGATATAATATCTTTAATTAATCCATGATAGTAATAGATATTGTCAAGATAAAGCTTAGCTATTTTTTTACTTATATTAGATTTTATATATAGTATAAAATATGCCATCTTAGTAAACAATGTATTATTATAAATATAAAATCATAACAACTTGTGAATGAAAGATCCATGATAAAATCCATAGAAATAGAAGACCATGGTTGTTTTAAAATAAGTAATGGATAAAGAAATCTATAAGGTCAATAATAAGGATTTTTTTATTTTAAACAAATATCACATAATTTTACATAGTCTTTAATTACTATTTATATTTAAGACCACCAAAAATTTCTAGATATTAGTTTCAAAAGCTTATTTTATCCAAAATTTCTTCCTATTGAAAAGTCATGATAAGCTTAAAGAACACATAATTATATTATATCTTTTGGAACATATAAGTGTCTCTCAAAATAAAATAAATTATTCTTGAACTCAAACTTAGAAGAATTTTGAGAATTTTGGGAATTATTTTTAATATCATAAATAAGAAAATCAAATGTTAAATTAATAGTCAATATTGATTTCATTGCTCAAAGATAAAAATGCTTTGCCTTCAAAAAAATTATTCTTTGTTGATGAAAAATTGCATCTCATTCATTTGGTATAAGATAAAAAGGTTTAAAAATGATGTCTAGCAAATCTTGTTATTTTCTTAATCAATAAGTGATCTTAAAATCAAATCTTGATGAAATCATATTTTTATTATTTTTAAGACCTTCTAATCTATGATAGTTTGAACTTTCTTAGGATCCATCATAAAGCCATTATTTGAAATGATGTATCTTTAGGAGTCAACTTAAATAGCGTAAAATATACACTTTTCTATCTTGATGTATAATCTTATATTTTTAAGATTTTATAACATACAACAAACATGAAATTCATATTCTTTTATATTCTTAAAATAGTTTAAAATATATAAATAGCAGATAACAAAATCATCTATAAATTCTCAAAAGACATCATTCATAAGATATTAAAAAATACCTAGTATATTTGTGAGTTCAAAAAGCATGACATTATATTTAAAATATCTATATCTAGTTCAAAATATTGCCCTTCTGTTCATTTCTTTTTTTAATACATACTAGTTTATGTGCTTCTTATAGATCTATTTTAATATAGATCTATTTTAATATAGATCTTAATTTGATTTAATTAATCAAATAGTCTTGTTATAAAAGATAGAAGATTTCTATTTTTAATGATGATTTTTTTGATTTTTCAATAATCTACACATATCTACAAAGATCTGTCTTTTTTCTTCATAAATAAAATAGGAGCTCTTATTTGAGATTTTAAATTATATATAAAGTTCATGGCCAAGTTCTTATCAATGTATTCTTTAAGTACATCCAAATTGTTGTACAAAAAACTATAGAATGGTTTGAATGGCAATTGAGCTTCTTCTTGAAGATCAATTCAACAATCAAACAAATGATGCTCTAAATAAATATTTGTATTCTTTTTCTCAAAAATATCTTAATAACCTTAGTATAAGTTTGGATTGCCACTTGAAGTCTTTTTACCATAAGAAATGGATATTGCATATATAGCAAAATGTGATCTTTTTTTTGCAGCATACATGAAATCTCTTATATTTATTAATAAAAATTTGATTTATTTAAATTTATAGGCTTTTATTTGACTATAATAATTTTAGATAAAAACCACAAAAAAAAAATCAATGCTACAAAGAATCTAGTCTATTTGAGGATTATATTTCTCTAGCCACAATAATCTTAAAATAATTAAATTAAAAAAAGATCTAATTATATTAAATATTATTAAACTATTATAATATTTAGCTCCTACATCTAAAAGAACAAATTCATAGATAACATCTCTAGAAGATAACAAATAACTATCTATGACTTCAATATGTATAAATTTATTATTTTTATCAAAAAGCATTCTTTATTTTTTAATAAATTCTTTATCTATAAAACAAGTTGAAGCTCTTAAATTTAATAAGATAATAATTTTTAAAAAATTAGTTCTAAACAAACTTCAATTGTAAAACAAGGTAAGGGATTTGAGGAAAAAATAAGACATTTACAAGGTGTTACATAAGATTCAAGTTGCATAGTTCCTATTATACCTAAAAAAACTTATTTTTTGATACATGGTCTTCTTTCACAACTATGCTCCTTATTTTTTGATTATATTGCTTCTTTAAGTAAAATTGAGCAAGCAAGTTATAAGCAAACCTTGCTTGCAAATGCAATAATTATAAATTTTTTTTTATTTTTTTCAAAAGTGATATCAATAATTTTTCTTTCCATAGATAATTCAAACATATCTACTAGTCAAATTAGAGAAGGATAATCTGCAACCTCTAATATCACTTGAAATTTTCTACAAAGAAGAATAGTCTATTTTTTTTTTTTTTTTTTTAATCTTTGTTAAAATACTAAAAATATTAATTTAAAGATTTGCAGTCCGTAACTTTCAAATAGCAATAATAGAAGTAATGTGATCCACTCACTTTTAAAATAAATAAGAACAATAAATTTGCAATCTTGTTAAATTGCCAAGTATATAAATCTTGAAGAATTAAAAGATCAATATACTCTTGTATTGGACAAAAATATTAGATAATGACTCAAAGATAGTATAATATTAAACTAAAATGACTATTCTCAAAGATACAAAAACTAGTCTTTTATAAGAAGACTAAGAACAAAAAAGACATTGATAGGAGTGAAAAAGGCTTCACTTTTGCCTCCATATATACTATCTAACTATGAGCTATATGATAATGTTCTATAGGACCTTCAATATGTGTCTTGACTTGCAAGACAAGTTTCCTATATGTGTGCTACATAATTAACTTATACCACAAGTTATCAATACATATGTCATGTGGCTAATTTGTTGGCCAAGTGTTCAACCTACTAATTACCTAAAAATACATATAAAGTTGAAAATGCATCTATAAAGCTTTTAAGAAGCTCCTCTATAAGATATTACCAAATTAATCTACTTTTATCTACTTCTATCTATTCATATTATCTAGGTAATTATTAGAGTAAATATGTATGTCCATGACACAAAGGATCAAACATGTATATCCTAATATTAATAAACGAGATATTACATGAAATCAAATATACTACAAATAATTTCATGTCCATGTTCTTTATGATTCTGCTTTAAATTTTATTTATGAAAAGGTAATAATTTTATAAAATTATTTTAAAATTATCTATTAAATTTTTATTAGTTATTAAAAATAAAAAATAAAACTTTTCAAGATTATTTTCAAAATTACTCTTCTACTTTAATTCCTACAATTGCTTAAAATTTTAAAAACTATAAAATTTTATTTATTTTATTTATGCTATTTAATAATAGAAAATTTTATTATAGAATTTATATACTTTTTAATTTAAATAATATTGAAAAATAAAAATATTAAATAATATTGGAATAAACTATAATAATTTTAATAATATTAATAATAATAATAAATTTAAAAATAAAAGTAAATAACTTAGAATTATACCATCAAGAATATTATTAATATGTATATATATATGTATATATATATATATATATATGTTAATCAAATGATGACAAATTATCAATAGATAACATGTAATTAAACCACAAAAGTTGATCCTTTATGTCTTAATTATAAGTTTGAATTTTATCAAATTAAGAATAAATAAATAAATAAATATTACTATTATTTATAAAAAGAACATATAAACAAATAATAATAATAATAATAATAATAAAATGAAATGATTTTTTTTATATGTGGACCAATTCAATCATAGTAAATTTATTCTACTAAAAAATCCTTAAAAAATCCTTATGTAATTAGTCAAAAAATATTCCACATATTAGAAAAATGACTTACTATGTCCAACCAACCATTCCATTACTAAAATTCTTAAAACTTTGATAGCCTCTATTATAGTATTCATCATCTTCTTCTTTGTTTTCTTCTTCTTCTTTTTTCAAGTAAGATAGCCAATCCATTCTTAACCACTCCCAATTTTTTATTTACAGAATGGTGTATTTCCAATCAACTTAATATAATGATAATAATAATAATAATAATAATAATAATAATAAATCTTATGGTTTCACATTACTTAATTCACATTTTTTCTACACTCCATAGTGCCATTACATAAGAAAGTCAAAATTTCATGACAACTTTAGAAAATTTGTTGAAAAATCAAGCATTCTTGATTTTGTTGCCAACCACTCGTCAAAAGTAGGTTGGCCTATATGTTGGGTTTGTATTGAACATAATCTTGAGCTAAAACATTAATAGTAAGTTTTCTTTTTGGGCAAAATGATGTGAAAACACCTAAAATCCTCTTGATTTCTATTTCTTGATACTTGGATTTTTTAAAAATTTTCATGAACACAATAAGCTAAAATGTTATATTATTGGAAATAGGTCGGCTACCTTAATTCTTTAGTCCATATACAAACACTTTTTTTAATATTTCTAAGTTGTGAACTTGTGAGAGGGAGGTGATGCAAGGCGTGTGGGGCTGCGGAAAAGAAGCCTCGATAAATAGCGAGAATTCTGATGCCAAAAGCGCCGCGACGGCGTGTGGCGATGCGTTTCCACAAGCTGGGGATGATGCGGGAGGAGTGCGTCGTCAGCGTTCGTCACTCTAGATAGCATTGCGAGCTTGGTCCATCAGGTTTCTTCAACGGTGCCGCGTGTGTGCGTGTGCGTGTAGGACTCTCGCTAGAATCTCATGGCGATATCCTCCGCAATTGCACGCTGCGATCTTGGAAGCCGAAGTGTCGCATCTCCGGCCTCTAGCACCAAGGCTGCAGTGTTTGATTCTTATGCGCCCCGGTGCATTGTGAGATGTATGGGCTGTTAGCTTGATTTCTTCTCTGCAATATGGTGACTGTTGAGTGTGGTGGTGACGATATCAAAGTGTGAGGTCGTAGGAGCTGCAATGTAGTGGCAATGTCGGTTTGAATGTTTTCAGCTTTTACCTGTCTGGAAGCTTTGGATGCTTTTCCAGAGTGCAGAGTTTGAGGCGTTGGTTGCAGTGGAATGCGCAATCGTGTCTTAGAGTGGGATTTGTGGCGCAGGTTGTTCTTCTGAGAGGGGATTAGGTGACAACAAGCAGGTGACAACCACCTCCGAGCCGTCCCGATTGGAAATTGTATCTTGTGATTCGAGCAATGAGACTCGGCTTCTGAGCGTCGCTCCTCTCTTGGCGCTCGCCGCGCTGCCTGGCGGTATGTTCCCTTTCCTGCATTGCTCATTTTCATTCAGCTGTTATTACTGATCATTGGATAGTGAGGGAGTCGTTTCACTCCGACCTAATGAAAGATTGAGCCGTCTCTGACAACAACTCTTACACACTTGTACATGTGCAGCCGGCGTCGTTACGGAGCTGTTCGAGCCATTCGGAGAGCTTGTCAGAAACTGGAACTTGCCAGAATGGATAGTACATTGGGGTCACCCAGCGAACATGGTAAGTGTACTTCCGAGAGCTTTCCCACGTAACAGTGTTTAGTTGGGCCCGTTAATCTTAGGAGCGGCAAGGATATTCTCACAGACGCTTGAGTGAACGCTTTGTGCAGGCGGTGGTGTTGTTCGCTATGGGTGGCTACGGCTCCTACCTGGGTTGGCAAATCCGTCTCAGCTCCAATGGGACAGTGAAGGCTGCCGCCAAAGACCTTCACCCTAAGATCCTCGGTGGCATGTTCTTCTTCTTCTCCGCCGGCGCAGTTGGAGGCATCACATCGCTCGTCACATCCGGCAAACCAATTTTTGAGAGGTACGGTGATCGAACCTGTCTGACATCGTACTCGATTCCCAACAGTAGTAACGCCAATTCTTCACTTCTGTGGGTCCTGTAACTGCAAACAACTGAAAGAGCCCAACACTTCCTCTTCTCACCAAACCTGACCACGAATCAGAAACTTAGGGAAATCGTGTGCGCTCTGCGAAGCCCTAATCGCAAATCCTCTAGCAATGCATCTTTATCTTGAAATTTTCATCCCGCCGTGCCATGCTCACCTCACGGTATTGTGTGGCAGTCCCCATGCCGTAACAGGTTTTTTGGGCCTTGCCCTTCTCAGCGTGCAAACAGCCGTCTCCACCCAATTTCAGGTATCGTTTTCAACATCCATTCTCTCACAAAATCACCTCCAAGCATATTCCTCCGCCCTCCCTCTCCCGATCTGGTCTCTGACTGAGCATCAACTCTTGCAGGCGAATCCGGATTTGCGAAACGTGCATGCCATTCTCGGCACAGGAATCATGGCTTTGTTCCTCCTCCACGCAGTGTTTGGGCTTCAGCTGGGGCTCAGTTAGCAACTGTAACGAAAGAATTTGCTTCAGTTTCTTAATGTGACTACCATTCAAACGAAAAATCCATGTAATTCTCTAGCGTCGGTGGGAGTACTCTGCTGCATCGGACAACAATTATTCCCCTAAAATTCTGAGAATGCTTTAAGTAACCACTTGTGGGTTTCCGCTTCAAGCACCCAAGGCTTCTACAAGTTCTGCTTCCTTTTTCGTATGTCTGGATGCTTTTTTACACATGATATATCCAAAGCCCTTAAACGTTACCTTCCAGCTTTCAGTGAAGAACAAATATCTTTAGGGGAGGATTTATTTGAAGTTTTTCACTTCGAAAATGGAATAATCTCATTAATCCTAATCCTCAAGTAAAATGGGTAATGTTCATGCAACTGTTTTAGATTTGTCTGAAATTACAGCATGTGCAAATTGCAATTACACTGATTACTTGACCATTCCCATTTACATCATCAAAAAGTAATATATATATATATATATATATATATATATATCCTGCTACATAATTAACCTATTTATATCTAATTTCATAACATATAAATCTTCTATACATTATTATTGTTTAAATTTATACTCAATAACCACCATATATAGGTTTTATATAAATCTTCTAGACAACTTTGAGATGATCACAGTAAACTACTTGATTATTGTTGCAACTTTAAAAACCCATTGATAATAGAATAAAGATCCTTCTATGCCTCATTACCCCTTGACATTTTGGATATAATTAGAAATAAAGGATAAATATAACCAACCACAATCTTGAACACATATAAATCTTGTAACTTAAAGGATACAGGTGAAGAAGATTGAAGGATTAAAAGCTTTTGTTCAAGCACAACTTATTCTTCTGAATATCCTAAAATTTACAAACTTTTTAATAAATTTTAAAAGGTTTAAAGCTTCTCTTCCCAAATTATGTGTATACATGAAGACAACAACTTTTAGACAAACTATTAGACATCCTCCATAAGCAAGGCCATCTAATAGAAGTGGATTACATGAGTAAAATAAAAATATCAAATATTATTGTAAAATTAATCAATAAAAGAATAAAATAGATTATTATTTATGTCTTTTTATTAAGAAATAATAAGTTCAAAGTCTTAATATCACTGCAACCTAATAATAATAAAAGATGTTGTACAATTGCATACAATGAAGGAATTTAGCAACTACACAAGGCATTTCAATCTATGCTTTTGTTTCTCCAATTCTACTAGAGGGTGTAAGGAAGGGTGCAAGTGTAACAAATGCTTATATTACTTAAATAAATAAAAGTCAACAGAAGTATTTAGAAATATATTTAGTAAAAATTGTCTTTTTAAAAATAATCAAGGAAGTTTTTGATATGCAAATTAGATATTATTACTCACAGATTTGTCATATGGCAATTAAAACTTTATTTATAAGTTTTTTATACTTATAAAGTTGAATTAGAAGCAACCTATAACTTGATATTTAGGCCACAAGCCTAAAGGTTCCTAAGAAGCTTCTATAAGTCCTTTTCGGTGATAATTGAGACTCTCCTTTGCATAGATTTTATGTGATCAATAATAAATAAAAATTATTGGACAAAATTGCTCAAAGAATTGTTACATTACTTCATAATGAATTGTCACTGCTACTTAAGAAATGGTTGCAATATTTCATAAGAATAAAAATAGGGAGTTGCTAAAGCCACAATCCAATTTTGTCAATGATACTCTCCTTCATCCCATCTTATGATTCATTCTATATATGTCACTTGTTCCAACTCTATTCCCAGCCACCATCCTCTGTTTGCATCCCAACTTAATCCAACTCCACCTTGTCTCTATTCCACCCCATCTAAGTTTTAATTTTTTAAGTAACAACATGTATAAATAATATATAAAAATAATTTTGCATTATTATTTTGGAACTTCTTTATCATTAAATATATATTTTTATAATGATATCATTTTTAGAATTATTCTTACTTTAATTTATATAATTATTTTTTATTTATATATTGATTTATTAATTAAAATATTTATTGAAATTTCAAATATTATACATGCACCATAAAATCTATTATTATACAAAACTTATACATCCAAAGTGTCATTTTAAAAACCAATTCAAATAAAATATAAAACACATATTGTATATAGAAGCTAAATTTATTTAATTTATATTCACAAAATATTTAAGAAAATATTTTTTAAACAGTTAAAAATAATTTTATATTTAATCCAAATTTTGTAAAAAAAATAAATGTAAGAAAAAAATTATATTTTAATTTTTTTGAATATATCCAACAATATTTTACATGTTATCAAAAATATTAATGTTATTGAATAATATTTTAAAATTTAGTCACAATATTTTGAAACTAAAGTCTAATTTTAGGTGTACTTAATATTAACAATAAAAATTGTAATTGTGATTGTTGTAACTCAACTTATTTCAGATCTAAAACCATTAATCAAGTAGATATGTTTCATTGATTAATATCATTTGGAAAACTCATCAAATTTTGTAAAAAATATTTATATTTTTAGAAATTTTAAATACATCAAATAATTTTTACATGTTATCAAAAAGATAAATGTTATTGAATAGTATTTTAAATTTAGACACAATATTTTAGATTTAATTTAAAATTTAATTTTTTTAAAGATATAATTAAATATGTGTAATAGCTAAGAAACAATTTGAATTTTATAATAAATATTTATTAATCACAAAATTTAATAATTTTGAATAAGTACTAAGATTTTATTTAATTTTGATGGACTTTTATTTTTATTCAACTACAAAACATTTATACTAAAATTTAAATAATAAAATTATATTACTACAAACTTAATATTGTAAATGATTTTAAATATTTTTACTCTAAATTCAAAAAAAAAATGATTATCATTTTTTTACTTCATATATACATTTAATCATATTTAGAAATAAGTATTTTAATTTTAATTATTTATTTTAATTAAATAAAAATAACTTAAGGGAGATGAGGTTGTAATGGGGTTGAGACAGGTTGGGGTTGGAACAGGATGGAGTTGAGATAAGGTGGGGACAAAGGGAGGAGGTTGCAATGGAAACAAGGGACGAGGTTGGGATCAAGGTTGGGGACAGAGGTTGGGGACAGAGGTTGGGAACATGGTTGGGGACAGAGGTTGGGAACATGGTTGGGGACAGAGGTTGGGAACAAGGTTGGGGACAGAGGTTGGGAACAAGGTTGGGGACAGAGGTTGGGAACAAGGTTGGGGACAGAGGTTGGGGACAGAGGTTGGGAACAAGGTTGGGGACAGAGGTTGGGAACAAGGTTGGGGACAGAGGTTGGGAACATGGTTGGGAACAAGGTTGGGGACAGAGGTTGGGAACAAGGTTGGGGACAGAGGTTGGGAACAAGGTTGGGGACAGAGGTTGGGAACAAGGTTGGGGACAGAGGTTGGGAACAAGGTTGGGGACAGAGGTTGGGAACAAGGTTGGGGACAAGGTTGGGGACAGAGGTTGGGAACAAGGTTGGGGACAGAGGTTGGGAACAAGGTTGGGGACAGAGGTTGGGAACATGGTTGGGGACAGAGGTTGGGAACATGGTTGGAGATAGGGAACATGTATAGAATGAATCATTTAGTGGCAAGGGAGGATGAAGCTTTAACAATTTCCTCAAAATATTTAGATAAGAAGATTAAAATACATTGAGTTAGCTTCAAAGCTCATAAAGTATAGAGCATATTTAATTAAAATTTTATTCTTATTAATATAAATAAATTCATTATATTTATTAATTTATGATCCAATTAAATGTAAATATTAGTAAGTTTTAGAAATCTATTTTATGTCTTATCATCAAACTATCACCTTCTTTTTATATCAATCACAAAGTCTACTTCAAATATGTAGATAGATAGATAGATCCTAATATCTAATATTAATTAATAGAATTTTTTAAATTTGATGTACAATGTGTGTTTTTTTATATGCATACAATTTCTTTTTATTAAATATTTCTTTTACATAAAAAATAATTTTATTATAAAAAATTAAAAAAACTTGTGATAAATAAAAAATAATTAATGGTATAGCATAAAAAATAAAGGATCTTTAATAAAAGAATAATATTTTTACAATTCCAATATAAAACATGAAATATTAATCAACTTGAGAAATTTCTAATCTAATATACAATAAAAAGATAGTAGATAAAATGAGAAACAATGGAACATAAGATATATGCTAGGTATATTCAAGAAAACAAATTGCATTAAATTTGAAGCTATAAGTATAATTTAAAGATTGTAGATTACGTAAGTCTTAATAGTAGAATCTTATGCATTGCCATTTATAAGTGATGATGTTTTGTTTAATTTATAAAATTATTATATTTGAAACAATTTTCACTATCTTTTAATTCTATTGTGAAAAATATAACACACATGATGCTTTATGTATGTCGTATAAACTACAAGAATACAATATTTTTTTTGCATATTTTGTTTGCATAACATAAATTACTCATACAATTGCAATTATTTGTTAAGTTTCATAAATATACATTACAACTTGGTTATTGCTTTATATAAAATTTCTCTACTTTTAAAAATATTCTTATTTAAAATAAAACTTCTTCAATACAATGTATGACATATTATATGACATTGTAATATCTTCCTTGCCTTGGTGTAGGGCAATTTTTGCAGGTATTGAAGAATCTACAGTTTACATGTAGAATAATGATTCTTTACATGTCAATCATTGGAATGGCTTGTCATATGTTTCATTTATAAGGTAGAATCAACTCTCGCTCATAGAAACCTATAGTTTTATCAAGCCCAATTGTAGGATATGACTTTATTAAGTCTTCTAAATATAAGCAAAAGTTTCAAAACAAAAAAAGAACAGACATGCAACCAAGAGCATAAAAATCACATTCCACATTTTGTAAAGAAATGTATCAAAGATTCTCACTGTTAGCTATGCAATAACACACATTTATGTATCAGTTTAAATGACCCTAGCACTGAAAAAAGCTGGGTATGAATGTTTGGTATGAAGGAGCATTGTAAACTGAGCTACAATTCAATTTGATAAGGATTTAACATGCCAGCATACTTGAACAGCACTCTTACATTTACTTCCTTTCTTGTTTACAATGATTGTCAATTATTGAATGATGATAGGTTGGATCTAAAAACATTGAATGAGTTCTGAAAAGGGTAAAAATATTAAACTTGACTCTAAATTTCCAATCACACCTAACAAAAATTTACTTAAGATTA